CAGGCTTCATCTGAAATCACCACCCAACTCTCAGCCCCACTGTACACAGGAAACCAGCCAGTTTTATCGGCAGGCCAATTAAAAACACACATGTCCAGCCCTCTCTGTCCCTCTGCGCAGAGAACAGAGGGAGAGAGACAGAAACACATGTGATAGAAAACAAAAGAGATAGTGAGAGGAGGTAGGAAACGTGTGGGTGAGGTAAAACATTCAAGCTGAAAAGAAACAGAACAATAGGGTGGATAGTGATAAAAGAAACACACCAAAGGAGGATAAAAAAAAGCACATTTTACCTGGTGGACCTCTTCATAGAAACTATATCTCCTCTCAGAACATAGTTACAGATCCCCACTGTCAGCTTCTTTTTGCCATTTTACCCCCTGTAAACACTTGGTAAACTGTAGATTGTGTAACTCTGCCAGAGCTACCGCAGGAATCAAGAAGAGCCTGTGGGGCAGCTTTCCGTAGCTGTGCTACATGTAGAAACATCAGTGAAGTTTCTCCGTGGATTTCCGGGGGAAGAGTTTCTTTGAATGAAAGTGGAGAAGTGATACCATGTGACCACAAACAGTAAATCTGTAAATTAATTCTATTGATATGGGTATAAGGAAGAGCACCTGGTTGGGTGTGTCTCCAAGGTGAGCTCTCATTTACCTGTGGCTGAATGGTTGTCTGGTTTTCTCCTATCCATATTCAAAGCCTGTGAATGTAGCTGATAGGCCATTCGGCTTTTCTTTTGTTCTATAACTGCTCTGAAAAACAATGTTCCCTCAAGGTTTGTAAAAGCCTTGCAGACTTGAATCTTATTTCACTCATTTGACATCCACTGCAGTGCTACGCAGAGGGCCTTCAGATTCTCAGATGACGAAATGCAGCATCACAGAAAAGTGTTTAAGAGCTTAGTTTACTGTTTCATTTAAAATATGTTAATAATCAAAGAGGAATAACTGGGGCTTGTGGATAATTGTTCAAAAAGAGGGGGAAATAGTCAAAGTCCAGGTCGCCTGCTTCCTCACAGTCAATTGGCAGCTTTACACTTAACCACAATACCTGGAGCGAACCCTGGCATGCACACAGAGTAACGCAGAAGAATGAGTGCCAACCGTGTTTGTGTCTGTTTGTGGCATAAAGACCACAGAGCGGAGGCACACCCAGTGGGATGGTCACACCAGCAGCCGCACACTGAACCAAAGGACATCTCTTTTCATCTCGTGTTTCATTCACTTGTTTTAGGTTTCTTCAAAATGCACATATACAAATGCATATTGAGGTTTCATATAAAATACAGTTTTCTTAAAAAAATTTGTACAGCACAGTTATCTATTAGGATAGCACACGTTTAGTTAACTCTCTTTGTCAATTTTGCTATATTTGTTTTTAGTTTTTGTTTTTGCATTAGTTCCTGGAGGTTGCTGTTGGAGTTGTCTGGCTGCCACATTTGCCTAAAATTTGGTGGTGATTGCCAATTGGACTACACCATGTTCTTTCTGCATCATGGGGAAGGACAGTTTTTTTTGGTTTGAGTTTTGTTATTATTTATGTGATAACTGCGTTTTAAAATTGTTCTTTCATTCAGTTGATGTTAGATATTATATAATATTAATGCTACACTGACATGTTTTGTGGTTATTGTAGTTTGTTTACGTGGTCATGTCTTTGTCTTTCCCCTTGTGTGTCTGAATGGTCTGATTAGCCCGATGTCTCAGTTTGTTAGGTTAGTTTGTGCTGTTCAGTGTCTTTTCTGTTTAGTTTGGTTATGTTGACCTCTTCTTTGGGCTTCTTGGTATTTTGGGGCTTTTTTTGGCTTTTGTAAATTAAAAAATGTCTCTCTGTTGTACCAGCTTGGTCTGTGACACGCAGACACACCTGCCTTCAATCAGTCCAATGAATTACAGGTATTGGCTCACTGCAAATGTGAAATCAATGTTCCTGTTGATTGTGAGATAAAAAAGTACATTCAACCTTTTATAGTGCATATTGATTAGGCAGTGTTCCATTTATGGTAATATATGGATCATTATTATTTAGATAGACCTTATACTGATACAGGACTGCACACAAAGGGCCTATATTCATATTTGAACAAATTATGGAAATATGGCTGGCTGACACCAACTTATTTGTGTGCAGCCAGCTTATAATACTCCCACAATAACATTATTAGCATAATATTTTTTCTAAAAGCAACCCTTAAACAAATTTGTTTCTGTGTTGTGGTTTTAAATGGACACATTTCACTCAGTAGTGGTCACAAGAATGTAAGGAAGCAGTTACACGGGTATGGTATGTGTAAGTAGTACCATATGGTGGGAGGCACATAATGTACTTAAGAGTACAAACACGTCGCCCCCCAGCACTAAAAGCAGGGTTGATTGATGGACCAGATATCAGCAAAGACTTAACTGTTTACTGATGGACAGACTCGCTCTACTCACATCTACGCCCTTCAATATTTAAAGAAAAGTCCCAAATGCTGTCTAATACGCACACAAGCACAAACATTTGCAGTTTTTTTTTCTCTCAGTGAAAACTGTTTAGAAAGCTGTGGTTCAAGAAGTAAATAAAGACCGATGTAAAGCAAAGAGCACTGGAGGAACAGTGAAGTTGAGAAGAAAGGGTTTGAAGTTTCAAGCCTTTTAGCCAAACTGTGTTACAGGTATATACAATTATATTACCAAGATTTGGATATATATATTATGAAAATATATTTTTCAATTACAGGTAACAGAGGAAGGTGGATAAATTAGTTTTTATAAGGCTCTAATCTCAAAAGCTAGTTGACTAACAAGGTTGGTTTACCTGTTTTGTAGTTCCATTTTTAGTGTGTTTTTCTTGTTTTTGTTTCCTTTATTTTTATTTTTGACCCCCATATCTTCTCTTTTTTTCTATGAAAGACATGCTCTCACAGCCCAAAAATGTATTTACAGGATTTTGGATTTGTATACTATAACACTGTTTATTCCTGGTTTTCTGTTCTTTCAGTTCACATTAATGAGTCGGATCTGATTAGTTTTGCAGTGTATAAGGATAATAAATAAGACAACATCAAAGCACATGACATCACCTTTGAAAAATGTGGACTAACTGTGTACAGGTCCTCTAAGCTTTGGCACATTCTTTAGAAAGAGCCATATAAGGTGAAAAGACACCACAGAACATGCTATAAGCTGTAGTGCATTCTGTGGTACTATATATGGACCCTTTCCACTATGTAAAAACATCATTATTGTACAAAGAGATTGGATTTTATATTCTGTTGAGGAAATGGCCCAACTCCACTTCGACTATTATGCTTATCGGACGGAAATTGTACAAGGTTTTTTTGAAGGAGACTTATGGAATTCAAAACAGGAAGAGCGAAAGAGTGGGAAGGACACTGTTCTCTCTCTACTCCAATTATGGCAATCATTTTACTTCCTTTTCCCATGAAGTCCTTCAAAGACACACAGGCTATCTTGTTCCCACCAAATCCTTTAAACACATGCCTATTCCATCACTCCATTAAAGGGGATTGATGGCGACACTAAATGTTGAAGATATTTGTTCATTTAAAAATAAGTGAAATGGGGCCCTCCTGTGGTTGCAGACCTCACATTACAGAAATAACCAAAAGACTGTCAACAAACATCAATTCCCATACAGCCGTTGGTCAAACCAAGACAATTATACATTTAAAATAACAAAATTAGTTTTTTTAAGACAGTGATGTAAACTCAACTGTAGTACTCCAAAAATATTCGTCTTTATCTCCTCAGCCTGAATTTATTCGCAGGCAAATAAGAACAAGTAGATAAGTCGGCATGGAGAGAGAGCCTGTGATGAACAGATAGAAAGACAAAACCACACACTCATGTCAACTATTCTCTCGCCGGACAGACAACCCTCTGTGTGTCCTTCTAATAATTACAGTTTTTGGGGATAAAACTTTGTGACTCAGCCAACAACTGAGTCGGTTTTGTCCTGATCGTTTCCCTCATATACATTCAAAGAGCCTGCTGTGATTCTGCTGTGTTAATGAGGGCAGTGTAGAGAACAGAATTTTTGATGCTATGTCTGAAATTAGAAAGCAGCATGGTCCTTCACAGCCTGATGCGCTCTGGCTCGAGCTCTAAGAAAGCAGCAAAAAACGGGGGGGAGAGAAGGGGATGGAGAAAGAAAAAGACGTGACTGGATAGAAAGAGATGTGAAGTACAGAGGACACTCTGGCAGTGTGTCACAAGCATCCCGGCCGCTCGCTCTACTGTGACGAAGATTATTGCGCTGCAGCCAGAGGCCTCGGTCCTGTTCCAGCACGTGGAGTCCGGTCAGTGCTCCATATGTTGGTGGAGAAGCTCTGGGGAAGAGCTTGGTCCTCGAAAGGATGGAAGGAGCCCCGAAGCAAGTTCCAGTAGTCAGACAGCTTTAAGTAAAGCTGTGACAGAAAGAAACTGCATTTCTGTATTTATTTAGGAAGAAGATTCATGTTCTCCTGTTATTTTTTGGTTTATCAAGGAGGCAAGATGACATACTGGCTACATATATAAATATGTTTGAGTAGTTTAATTGTGCAGTAAAGTGGGACAGAATAGTTAATAAGATTTGTATTTATATTTGTATATCTGAATTACTTAGACAAGGGAATAGAGAATATTCTGAATTGTAGGAGAATAAAAAGAAAAGCTTTTCGTGTAACAATACAACCAACTGTTTTATGTTATTGAGCATGTGTAAAAGGGCCTCTGCCATGAAGCAAAGCTTTGGCTTTTTCAGCAGACCATTTAAAAATCTCACAAACTGATGTTGGTGTGTATAAAAGTCAGATATATTATAGGCATTATAGTAAACAAGCTCATCCATTTGGCTGATAATATTCACAATACACATACAGTACTTTTTGCTCTTCATTGATGCTACTATTCAAATAGTCTAACAGGGACTTTATGTTTTCATGTGATATATCTGTTTAAGCTTTATCAGGCTACCTGTGCATTTTCATAAAGTCATGTGACACACTCACCACTGTATTACATTTAGTTGCTCAGCCTGCATCTCATCACACTCCGTCTGCTACTTTCTCTCTGTTTCAGTTATCTTTTAATACAGTACTAACTTGGATTGCCCGCATCAAGTGCTTACAATGTGCAGCTGCAAATGCATGTTCATTTTCTTCAATGCACTCTTCTTGGTAAGTTAATGAATGAATGAAAGTATTGGGAGCGATGATTGATAACAATGATAATTAAAAAGGTTAAATAAAGTGGGATTTTTGTGGGTCATGTTATTAGTAATGTTATTATTTTCAGATTTTCTACTAAACTGCTTCTACAGCATTGATTTTATATTGATATGAGTGAATTGTACATCAAATTAATAAATATGGAAAAAAATGTACTGTGACTGTAATCCTTCATTTGTCTAATTTTAAAAGATGTATGCGAGGAAATACAAAAGACGACACAGGAGAGTGGAAGTCATTTGTGGCATCATTTGAAAGAGAATTGGAGGATTAATTTGTTCTTCCAACCATATCAAACATTATTCATAATAGATGGTCTCAGGGGCCTCAGCAGAGGGAACTGCAACAAGTATGGAAGATAATCACTCCGGCTCATGGACGGATGTGCTGGCAGGGTGTCATGGGTGAGCACACAGGAGCCCAGCACGCTACTAGGCTTCTTCCATGTGCAAAACGAAAATTAATAATTGGGAAAGTCCTGATTACTAACTAGTGTAGATAAAAAATGTAACCCACCAGCACAGAACATATAAATCTTTTTTTATTGTTAATTTAGAGAAAACTTGTTTTAAACTTTGTTTAAAGGAAAAATTACTGGTTTATTTAGCAACACTGCCCAATTGGGAGGGTTTAAAGTCAACATTTTAAGCCAACAGTATGCGCAAAATTTTACAAGAAAATATGATGATGGACAGTTTAAAACTGAATTTCAGTGTTTATTCTCACTTTGGAAATTTTCAGAGATTAAAAAACTTCTCTTTCTTTGCTTCTGGCTTCCTCCTTACACTGATTTTAGTTCCATGTCACCGCAGGTTGGCGGTCGACTTGCATGAAATCACCAGCAGAACTGGGTTCATTGGGTTTAATATTGCAATATAAAGCATTAATGCATTTTTTCTCCAGTTTAAGTTTTTAAGTCTTTTTCAGGCATCTGGGGTTGCCCTAATCACCATCGGAGCACTGCAGTATACGACTTACTTACAGATGGGCACTTTTGCAGGGAGCGGCCTGTCTAAAATCGCTATAGTCCTCATTGCAGTCGGTGTCACCATAGCCCTCATCTCCCTCTTGGGCCATGCTGGGGCTTTCTTTGATAATTCTTCTATGGTGGCTTGTGTAAGTAACATAACGCTCCTTAATGAGTTTGAGATTGTTTCCTCATAGATTTTATTGAGAACATGCCTGTGGGTCAATCTTGTGAGGATGTTGGATGTCAATATTTCAGTTCTGGATTGTTGTGGTTGAACAGCTGGAAGTAGATTCAATTATTCTGTCTCTGTCCCAAATGTTTGGTCAGAGCCACCACAGAGGTTTCAACAGACGTATAATTTACAATTTTCCTCATTATAATTATACGATACGTTGGAAAATTGTTTTAAGGGTTCTTTTTAAAGGGATATGGGACGTGACTGACCTCTAACCCTGCTCTCTCTGTCTCTTTATGAATAGTTCATCTGTATCCTGATAGTGATCATCATATTGCAGATACTCACTGGGGCCGCCTTTTACATATTCCGCAGCAGGGTGAGACAGTTAAATCCTGCCCATAAGGACATTATTAAAGATCAACATCAAGCCATTAACAAATGCTCACATCATGTCTGCAGACTGCCCTCCTGCAGATGAACAGCGCTATCAACACCAAAGCACGATTGGTAATCTATGAATACAGCCCGGAGAACAGACACGCCATCAACAGAATTCAGGAAAAGGTGCCATGCAGAGATGCTTTGTGTTTGTGTTTGATGATGACTGGAGAGAATGTGTAATACATGATAGGGCAAATTAACAGCGTAAATTGTAAATAGCGTAAGCTGTGTTGTTTTCGCCTAGTGTGTTTGAATGTGTTTGCATACTTGAGTCCATAAACAAATTTTGGATTTCCGTAAATTGGGAATGACTGGAAATGACACACATACTTCATGGCACTCCTGCTTAAGTCTGCGCCTAACTTGTCCCAGTCAAAAACTCTGGATACACCCCTGTAACGCCCCTGTAAGAAGGTAAAACCTTTCTACAAGACAGAAGAAAGTAAGAATGCTGGTGTTGTCCTCAGGCACTTATTAAAGCCTTCAGTCCTTCTAAAGGTCTGGTGGCCTGTGGCACTTTTCCTGATTGGTAATCATAATATTACATACAGAGTAAAAAGAACAATTTACCCAGGTAAATAAACTGATTCGTTAAGTTATTCAAATTAAAATGAATGTCAATCATGACTGAAGAAGCAGTAAGGTACTGAACAATGTCTCCTTTGTTAAGACATTTTAAACACCAACTAAAATTATTTATTCATTTTATTATTGTACACAGATTGTTTCTATTTGACACTTCATTTCACTTAAATATCCACAAAAGAAACTGAACAGTCAGACTTAAAACAACATTTACATGCTCTTATACATTGAAACAGTCTTTGGTCGCTGTAGTTGTCAATACTGGCCACAAAGAGATGTTTTCCGTATAACATAAAAGATGAGGGGGAAAACATCCATAGTTCTCTGTTTGTGTGGGAATTTACCTAACAGGATTTCTTCACCACCAGTACAAACAGGAGGAATGATTATATTTTTTTTACGGTGCACCGTGAATAGACAGATCCACAAACACTAGAGGCAACATCAGTGCAATCTTCATGCTTATACCATGTTACAGTTTCGCTGCTGTGGTGCAGACAGCGGCACTGACTGGTCTAGGAGTGTGGGCTGGGAAAACCACGATGCTGTGCCAGATTCCTGCTGCGTGGTGAAGAGCGAGGGTTGTGGACAGAACCAGGAGAAAATACACACAAAGGTCTGCTGGGAGAATTCAGTTTAAAGTTTATAACCATTTCATCTCAATTCTGGGACCAAATGATACAGTTATGTTATGATGTGTGCTCTTCCTCAGGGTTGTGTTTGGGCTATCAAACTCTTTCTGTTGAAAAACCTGGTGTGGGTCGGGGCTGTCTGCATCGCTCTTGGAGTCACGGAGGTAAACTGTTGGTGGTTTTGATTTTCAAATTTAATATCATGTGAAATATGTGTCTTGCATATGAGAAAGTCATGTTAAAGGTGATAAATTATACTTTCCTGAGGGGATTTAAGATATTTGTTGAGTGTCATCCATCTTTCTCTGCCATTAGTTAGTTTAGCCAATTGATCATTGATCAGCAGGAAAAAAGATGAGCCCATAGTTAACCCATTTTCATCTGTTGTCCCTGACAGTCTGTTAAAAATAGAATCGCACGTATTTTCCCTGCAAGATTTAGTAATTTATTTAAATGAATTATTTATATGCACTTTTCCAACAATTTGCATAAGAGCATGTTCATGTAAGCAATGGTAAGGCAGACATTTGAAAAGTAAGAAGAGGATAGCATGAATGATAATAAAGCCTATCTCATCCTGTTTGCCTCAGGAAGTGAAATGCAGACTTAATTAGAATTTACAGAAAGAGAAATGAATCTTTTTGACCCGTCTCTGAGTTCATTTGCTGCCAGTAACTTATAACCTTTTTTACCTGTTACAGGTTTTCGGAGTGATAGTCGGGGTGTGCTTCTGTGTGAAAATAAAAAACTATGAAAACCTCCACTGATGTGTCATCGTGCCCTAGCACAGCCAACTTCCCACATCACTGACTGTTATTCTTTTGTTCAGATTTGATCTATTTTATTAGATTTTCCAGTTTATTCTTGCTAGACTGTGCTTTGATATGACCAAAACATAAAGTTTAAACATGTGGTTATCATTGATATGTTTGAAATCAACTGAAAGGTTCCTGATTGTTTCAATAAGTTATCTGACTAATTGAATTGATTCTGTTACAGTTTATGACATTGAAAACACCTGTTATTATAATCTTTAAATTTAAAACTTAAGTTCAAATTTCATGCATACTATGAATATTTTCAATAAATGTGTGCTACATTCTGATTTAGTGGTTGTGTGGTTCAATGTCCATATAATTTTTACTCCACCACATTTGTCTGACAGTTTTAATTACTAGTTACTTTACAGATTATTCATTTTCATACCCTTTCTGTCTGGTGAAAACTATGTATCTCTAAATATGATGATAGCTACTTCTTAAGATAAATAAACTATTTAAAAACCCTATTGGATTATTTGAAAACATTGACACAAAGCTGAAAACAGGCTGTTTTTCTGAGCTCATGAAAAATTGTCTTTTTTTAAACAGTGACAAAATATGATGATCTTATAGAACATGATGCATTTCTGCAGATTAGACTAACATCATATAAAATGTGCATAAAGTAGATGAAATCAGTGCAACCGTAAACAACTACAGCAGGACAATGCAGCATACACATTAATGCAGAAGTAATGTTAATCCAAAAACATCATATAAAATAAAACATTGACAGGCACCATTTATTGCAGAATGAGCACTTTTATTCTTTTTAAGTCGATTTTAAGTAAATGTTCTTAATAATACTTAAATACTTTTACTTAAGTGCAGTTTTGAATTCAGAACTTTTACTTGTAGTGGACTATTTTCACTAACTTAACTCATTCATGTTCACCAACCTACACAACCAACAAAGAGGACAGAATATCAAAAACTTGGGATGACGCACTTGCGTGTTGCTGTTTGGTTCCCAGTTTCTTTGACTTGTGTCCAAACTATCATCACATGCTGTGTATTTTCATTGGCAAAACAGCTCTTTTTTTATACATTTAATAATATAAATATAACTTAAATAACTTTTTAATTAAGTGTGAAGAGGCAATATTATCCAATATTTAGGAAAAGAATAGGCCTATTAGTGAAAATATGGCCTGTATTTTTATTCTTCTATGTAGCAATACCTTGAAATAGATCTAATAGGCTATTTAAGTCGTAAACTACATTTCCCAGAAACCCTCTAAAGGGGAAATGCGTCCGCTCTCTAAATATGTCCGACCGGTATCAGCACGAAAAGTAACGTGTGCGCCTCTGACCCAGAAAACTGACTGAAAACACAAGTTTTTGAGCAACAGTGAGACTAAAACTAAAGGTAAAGAAACAGTTTCATTGCGTTATTATAAACACACACACACCACCGGTCATCATATCCTTCTGCTATGTAACAAATATAACAGACTGTGTAGCATGTAGCCGGTCAACAAGCTAGTCTAAATATTGTGTTAATGTCCATGTTTGAACTGTGTAAAAGTACAAATTATACTGCTTAACTTGGTTTTACCATGTAAAGTATATAAAGAATGATCAAGCAGGTAGCTGAGAGGTATTAGCTACCAGAGGTATTAATTATCTGGAGACATATTCCTCTTTAAATGGTCTCTCTTCTCACTCTTTTATGAAGCAGCATGTCAGAGGTGTTCATCCAGCGAATAAAGGAGCTGGAGGCAGAGCTGGAGGAGCTCAGGTCCCAGCGGAAAGAGAGGACTGAAGCTGGAGAAGACGGTGGGCTGATGTCCAATCCATCTCCTAATGAGAACTGCAGAGCTGATGGCGGCGGCAAAAAGGGCAAGAAAGCAAGCAAACAGCGTCCTTTCGACTTCTCGGCCCACCCTCGGCGCCATGTGGCCCTGCGGCTGGCCTACCTGGGGTGGTCCTACCAGGGGTTCGCAGTTCAGGAGAACACAGACAACACTGTGGAAGCCAGACTCTTCGAGGCGTTGCTGAAGACGCGGCTGATTCAGGACAGACAGAGCTCCAACTACCACCGGTGTGGTCGCACTGATAAAGGAGTCAGTGCGTTCTCCCAAGTGAGTTCGCTGAGACTCACTCCAAAACAAAAACAATACAGGGCCCTTGTAAATCTCTCCTAAATTTGTCTCTCCTCCACAGGTCATAACCATCGATTTGCGCTCCACACAGTTTTGTGGCGGACTGGGCGTCACACTCCCTGAAAACGTTGATGTTAGGAGCAAGAATAAAGCTTCTGGCTCTGAGCTTCCATATGTGAAGATGCTGAACAGAGTCCTGCCCCAGGACATTCGGATCTTGGATTGGGCACCAGCGGCCGAGGGCTTCAGTGCACGCTTTGACTGTCAGTCCCGCACGTACCGCTACTACTTCCCTCGAGGATCCTTGGACGTGGCATTGATGGCAGAAGCTGCGAAAAGGTGGGTGAAGACGCAGAAGGGATAAACACTGATGTCAGCCGTTGGAAGTTCTGATTTGAGGACTTCTTTTACACCCAACAGGTACGAGGGCACGCACGACTTTCGCAATCTGTGCAAAATGGATGTGGGCAACGGAGTCCTGCAGTTTGAGAGGACCATCTTGTCAGCGTCAGTCAAGCCTGTGCAACCTCAGCATGTCTCCAGCACAGACCAATATGAGCTCTTCATGTTTGAGATCAAAGGGTTAGCCTTCCTTTACCACCAGGTACACAGGTTTTAACGTTTTTACAGCTAGAATTATATAAATTTCAAGTCATTGTATCCATATAAATGTTCAAATAATAATAGAATTTCTGTTTTTTAGTGCAAACTTTCAATAACACCAAGACTGGTTCTGACTTTTGCCATTTAGATTTTTTAAAAATCTCTTGTGGAGTTAATATCTTTAATAATTTGATTTCTTTGATTAATGACATTTGCAGTGAACTTCCTGTTGTTTTATGCTGCAGGTACGATGCATGATGGCGCTGCTTCTCCTAATTGGGCAGAAACTGGAAGCCCCAGAGATAATTAATCAGCTAATGGATGTGCAGAGTAACCCCAGGAAACCTCAATACAGGTGAATTAACTGCGGTTAAAGAGGCATTTTTTTTGTGAGTTTATTCGTTAAACTACAATTGTCCGTATAAGTCTAACTTAAATATTTCCCGTCTGGTCTCTAGCATGGCAGTAGACTACCCTCTGGTACTGTACGACTGTCACTTTGAAGGTTTGAGCTGGCAACAGGAAAATGAAGAGGTGAACCACGTCCTGTCTGCGCTACAGCAACACTGGACCCAGAGTGCAGTCAAGACCCATGTCCTCCATGGGATGATCCGGGGTTTGGAGGCCATAGGTGAGATGTTCATTGAGATCAACAGACTTAAGTTTCATCTTAAACCTGTTTACAATAATAAGGGATTTTTAAATGGACCTCTGCAGGGCCCAATAGCCACGTAACAGACGGATCGCTGGGGGGACTACTTTATATTTTTGAATGGCGTTCTTGCTTTTAGGTTGTAGAAAGTGCTCTTTATAAATAATGTTATTTTGATTGAAGGGTTTATATATAAAATGTTGTGCACTTTTGGAGCTCACATTACATCCCCAGTCTGACCAGAACTATCCTGAATGAACTCACTTTCCTTATACTGTTGCAGTGTGAATGAAGGGTCTTAGGATCGATATATAGACTCTGAGACAAGAGGAGAATTTTGAGGAGAGCTGCTAACCAGTACCTTTATAGGCTAACAACAAAAGGTAGAACGAATTATTTCACTTCTCTCCATCCACAGGGGGAGTGTCGTCCAACCACTGCTGGCTGGTAGAAGGCAGCAGGCAGAGAAACTACCGGCCCCTGCTGGAGCGTCCATGCTGCGAGAGCCTGGAGTCCAGGATAAACCATTTTGTCAAAAGAGGCAGGCTGGAGCGGGAGGAAGGGGACAACGGAGGGGAAACGGTGCACAGAGGGAAAAAGTCCAAACATTCCCACAGTTCCCCCAGTCTGCCCGGTTCTACAGAGATACCGCCTTCAAAACAAAGTTCAGATCAGAAAGCAGAAGGTTAATATTTTCTCACGGAGGAATGGACTTGCCAAACGTTTATTTTGTAGTCATTTTTGTTCTTGTAAAACATTGTATTTACATTTTTATTTCAGGAAACAAAACAATGGATGTATGTCTTTTATTTCATACATTTTTACTCATGCAAATTTTTGTTTTTGCTTTGAATTAAATACACGTTGGAAACACTGGCTGTCGCTGTAGTCAAAGTTAGAATATAAAGTACTGCTCTGACCTTTTGAAGTACTTGTACTTTACTTGAGTATTTCCATTTTTTATACTTCTACTCCATTACATTTGACAGCTTTACTTTGCATATTTATATTATTAATACAAAACATACATCAATTAATACATTTTAAAGCTACCAGCAGTATATAAAGTGATTCAAATTAGCTCCATCTGATATACAAGTTAATGCATCACTAATAATAATCCATGTTTTATATAATTCTGAATTGGGCTATTCTTCAAAATTATTATCTTTTTAGTATTTTTAAGTACAATTTTGAAGATTAGAGACTTTATTGATCCCACACTGGGGGAACAGCTCCATATATAACATAGCAGATAAGAAAAAAAAAAAAAAAGAAATACACATTAGCTAACAAAATAAAATAGAAAAATGCAAGACATCAAGGGGGGAAAAAGTAAAACATCTGAATATTTCTGTCCGTAGTGCCTCCACTTGAATGGCAAGTGAAACCGAGCGACGCGGAACTAAACGCCAAGTAGGAACCACAGTCGGAAGACCTTTACAGCGGCGCCCGTCAAGCTAAGAAGCTAGGTCGTTAGCAGTCGAGTAGAGTACGAGTCAAGAGTTACAAACAGCGACACACAGCAACACGACCGTCTCCAACCTGTTCGTCTGACTGCACACTGAAAGAGGACGGGGTGAAAATGGCGTTGGCTTCGTGTGACTGCGTCTCTGTGCTCCCTCTGACCTGATCCAGACTTGTGCTAACGTTAGCCTGTTAGCAGTCCCCTGGTTGTTTACTGCACCGGCCCCGCCGCTGTGGCTCCGCACGGATTCCCACTGTACACACAGCTCGTTTAAGGAGTACCACACGTTCGCGAGGTAAAGGAGAAACAAAAATAAATAAATAAATAAATGCACAACAGGTGTCTCTTGTCGTGGAGAACAACCTGTCAGTCTCTCTCATTTACGGAGCTGTGGAGCCTCGTTAAGGGTTTAAGTTGGCGTTGGGTCAAGAATAACTTCACAGGTGATGTTCCTGT